AACTTGGGCCAGTGAAGCAACATCCTCCACAACTAGACTGAAGAACAAAAGGACAGCAACTTGTCTGTTCCCCTTCCCTGATTCCCCAACGCTATTCCCTCCCCCAATTCCCCAATAAAATCTTTAAAAAAATAAAATTAAAATAAAAAAGAAACAGAAAAGACAGTAATCTTCTATTTGTTCTTAGGTTGGGTGGTATGTATATACTGGAGGTGCCAAAAAAATGTATACACATTTTAAGAGATGTTATCTAAAACGTGTATACATTTTTTGGGGCACCCTCTGTGTGTGTGTGTGTGCGTATGCATGTGTATGTATATGTATATATACACACACGTATATATGTTATTATATCTCATAATTTATATATGCATAATTTTGTATTGAGTATTACATTAAGAAACTCTTATTAGACTCAACCCATCATATCAAGAAACTTTTAGATCCTGAAACTGGTACCTCATTTACCTATATTTTGAAGGGTAGGTCATCACAGCATAAAATCTGATTATCATGTTCAACTGTTACTTAATGTTTTGTCATTCCTAATTATGGTCAATACCTGCAGCCTACTAACAATAATCAATTGCTCTGAACCCTGTACTGTAAAGAAATGATGTATCTTTCAGGTAGAGAATGAAGCCTAGCCCCGGAAGCCCAGAAGAGCATGAATTTATTAGTGGGTCTAGAGCAGCAGTTCTCAACCTTCCTAATGCCACGACCCGTTAATACAGTTCCTTATGTTGTGCTGACTCCCAACCATAAAATTATTTTCGTTGCTATTGTTATGAATCGTAATGTAAATATCTTTTTGTTTTCCGATGGTCTTAGGCGACCCCTGTGAAAGGGTCGTTTGACCCCCAAAGGGGTCGCGACCCACAGGTTGAGAACCGCTGGTCTAGAGCAAGGGTTGGCAAACTTCCGTCTGCAGGTCAGCACCTGTGCTCACAAATAAAGTTTTATTTATATAGTCACAGTCATTTGTTTAACGTATCATCTATGCTTGCTTTCACTTTCCAATTCTGTAATGGCAGAGTTGAGTAATTCTAACAGAGACCAAATGTGATGTAAAGCCTAAAACATGGATTTACTATATGGCCCTTTACAGAAAAAGTTTAACTCCTGGTCTAAGGCACCATCCAGGGGAGAAGTTAAGTTTTCTAGTCCACTTGGCAGGTATATTCCTTTAGACTTGGGGGTCCGTCACAGCTCATTAGTCTCACCTAACTAATCCCTCTTACTCTTAAGTTCAGACCCACAATGAGATTTGGTTTCCCAAGTCCTACCAAGTAATGATTCCACTTTTCACTGTATATTAATTAAAGAACTGGCTTTCTGATTTATACTTCAGCCTCTCATGAAGTGGGTCAGCATGGGTCAGTCCCTTGGAGACCATTATATCATCGCTGATGCACTAAAAAAACAAAAGTCAAGTTTCTGGACCTGCAAAGCTAAGGACTTGCTTAAAAAATATGGAGATCCCTCTAGGGCAGGGGTCGGCAAACTGCGCTCGTGAGTCATATGCAGCTCTTTGGGTACATTCCGTCTCAAAAGTTGCTGACCCCTGGAAAAGCGAATCCTGTCCCTCACAACAATTTAAAAATTATTCGAGAGCGGTAAATATATTTTTACATAATCACCATTATGTGACTAATATCCTGTAAAAATTTTATAAATGAAACTGTGATAGTTTTGTTTTCATTTTCAATTTTACTTCAGAGCCACAGTTCGCGAGCTGCAGTTTGCTGACCCCTGGTGGCTCTCCTGTCTCAAAAGTTTGCCGACCCCTGGTCTAGGGTATCCATCCTGTGAAGCCCTATCTGGATCAACAGCTTCCCTCAAAGATATCTATCTCAGTGACATCTTACTCCATCATACAAACACTGACCATGATACCATAGTACTGAAACATAACAAGTACACATCATTTCTTAACATCAGATGCAAAAATGCCTCACGACTATCACAAAGACTCAACATTTCATAGACAGCAGCTACTTCAGAAAAGTGGCGTTTTTTCATTAGATAAGCACTTCTCTTCAAGTGTCTGATGTGATGCAAATGGTTTAAGAGATCATCAAAAGAAAGTTAACATCGAAATCAACATTTTGGAAATGCTTCAAGAATAAATCATAAGCTACCTGTTAGCATCTGTACTTTATCATGTGAAGTGTTACTCTGGAAAGCTGTCATTCACACTCAACTCAGCTAAATCAAGATCTCATTTCTTACCTGACTTGGGCTGATCTTTGCTTCAGCTGCTGTGGAATGTTGATGCCGGTCTTCCTTTGCTCCCTCACAGGGGTCTCTTACAATTTCCACCTGGACCCCTCGATCTCTGAAGACCTTTAGCTCCATGCTCTTGGTTTTCTCTTCCCTATCCAAGATCCCAGAAGCCATAGAACCTCCTGCTGTGGAGTCCACCAGCCCACACCGCCCAGGCTCACCCCCATAATCCGAGGTCTCAGAGGTTTCTTCGCAACAACTTTCCGCATGAGTCCTGTGCAGCTCCAAGGGCACTGCCCTACTCTGACTTATAAGCGAGCTTGAGGCTCCAGGTTTTACATCTGGAATCACACTTGGCACAGGGTCAGCATGAAGCTCTTTGGAGACACTTACTGGGAGTTCAGAGTATAATTCCTGTACCACGGCAGACATGGAGGAATCAAGTGGAACTGGCTGAGTCTCTACTCCGGATGACAGCATTAGGGCAGATGTAGATTATGGAGTCAAGTCTTTTACATCAAATGGTTCACCCTGACACAAATCAAAGGAAGGGATAAAAGTTTAAAACCATGCAGGGTAGAAGAAGGCTGTCTCAGCTCAAGCTCGCTAAAGTAAAGACAATAAATTCTACCTCAAATGCTGGCATTACCTGGCATCAAAAAACTCTCCTTCATAGACTGCCTTATGAACAATTCTCAGTTTAAATCTGGAGGGCTAGCAAATGCAGGTGAAAATAAGACATGTCTAAGCATCCGAGGATAGACTTACTGTAAATTAGAAGATAAAGACAGTTTTCTACCTGTTTTTAGGGCATGAACCTTGCTCGTTTTGTTCAATGCCGGGAATAGATACTTGACACATAGTAGGTACTCAGTAAATATTTCCTGAATGAAAGTATACTTAGGGACTCTGAAGAATCTGATTCACTAGTTTTTCTTCATTGAGAACACTCTTTGAAAGACGATATAGAGAAAATGAATTCCATTCCTTCACTGCTTACCAAACACTTGAGCTGTATCTACCCAGGCTGGCACAGACACTCTTTAGCAGAATACTTCCTTTTATTTAGCATCTTGGTATTTTCCAAGCACCTTCACAGGCCACTCATTTGATTCTCACAACAACCCTGTGAGCTAAGTAGGGCAGCTATCAGCTTCCCATTATAGATCCTAAATTCACATCTGAAAAGGTTAAAAGCGACCCGCCTAAAATATTACATGGTTATCCAAGAGGAAGTAGGGGGATACTCAGGGGACTTCATTTGAAATGGGAATGTGTAATTTCTTGCATTGGGTGACAGAAGCACAGGTTATTTCCTGAAATATTTATATCTAGTAGTTCATGATACTATATTAAAGTAGTCAACACACACACACACATGCATACCCTTAGGGAATGGTTGGTACATTCGGAACCAGGGTTTCCTGGCCAGTAACTTTTCCATTTTCGTCTACCAATAATGTGTGTAGTTTCCACAAAATCCACTTTGACCTGACAAAGGCAAAAATTGGTTAACCAAGTAAGATACTACTGCATGTTTTCATTCCTGATGCTTTCCCTAACTCTAAACAAGGACAGAGAAGATGAGAACTATTTGGCAACTCAGAGTTCACAACAAGGATCTACTGGAGGTCTTGATGGCAAATCAATACTGGAGGTATTGATGGCAAATCCCTTTGGCCAAAATGCATCTAGTTTCAGAAATCCAGCCGAGTTCTACTCCTACCACTTCCTCACGTCCATCTTTTCCCCAACTAAACATATTACATACAAGCAAGGTCCAGTGCTGGCTATGGAACTGTTTTGGTGAGCTGTCTCACCTTGTCTTCACTGACCACAATCAGATTTCTGAGCAGGAGGGACTCTACAACACACCACGTAAATCTTTACAACTCAGTTTCCTTGGTCCCTATCTCTAGTACTAATTTGATTTTCTGGTGGAGCCCACAGATGTCACACAAAGGCACACGCTCTGCCTCCAAGAGAAGAAGCACCTGCTCTTTGAATACTCCTGGGTTGACAATCGTTCCTTCTTGCACAGACGGTCCCATCCTCTGACCTGTGCTATTTGGACCAAAGCTGGGAGCTGAGGAAGGGCAGATGACAAGTCCTCTCGTTTTGGACCATTCTGCCTTTATCTTAGTTTTCCAACTTGTAATGGATGGTTTACTCATGTTCCTATGCTTCCACTCACTGGGTGTCCTTAGTGTTTTTAGGGAACCCTACTCAAAGGTAAAAGGATATAATGCTACGCTACTTCCTTAAAACACTAGGAATTACAGAAAATCAGGCTGCTGGTTCATAAAGTTTAGGTAACACAGGAGGGCTGATAAAGAAACCTAAATCCAAAACAAAGAAAAGGAGCAGAGATAAACTGTTGTGTACAGGAGTACGAGGAGAATCAAATGAGACTCATAAAAAGGGCTGAGAGAAATGCATTCTTTTTGGAACTAGAGTCTTCCCCTCCAGGTCTTGAATATTTCTGGAGACGCTTTAGATTTTAGGCCGTTTTGTGGGTGCGCGCATGTATGTGGGAGTTATTAAGGTGGAACTGCTATTTGACGACACCACCCCCTCCCATAGGTAGAAGTGCTCAATTTTAATGTGGTTCAGTTTCCCTTTCCCAACAACAGACACGATCCAGTTTTTGGTTGTCATACCAACACAGACCACGAGAACAGTGCTGTAAAGGACACTGTGAAAGCGCAGGTTTGTCGATGGAGATCGGCTCCGTGGGTCTGTCCACCAGCTTATGCTCAAGAGCTCTTCTCCCTGCGTGCCACCAAAGTGTGGGTGTTCTCAAAATCAAAAGTTTAGTCCTTGACACGCTTCACTTTTTTGATGACCTCACCTTTCCTTGCAGCTTCTCTGCTATGAAGATGACTCAAAACTGTCCCTTTAAGCACAAAGCGACCACATGACCCAGCAAGTCCATTCCTAGGTACGTACGCAAAAAACCCATGTATCCACACAGAAATTTGTATACAAATGTTCACAGAAGCACTATTCATAAGAGCCAAAAAGTGGAAACAACTCAAATGTCTATCAACTAACGATTGCAGAAACAGAATGTGGTCTATCCAGACAATGGAATATTACTCAACTCTAAAAAGAAATCAGAAGTACTGACTCATGACACAGCACGGGTGAATCCTGAAAACATTACAGTACGTAAAAGAAGCCGGTCACAGAAGACCACGTATCTATCGTAAGATCCCATTTATATGAACTGTCCAGAGCATGTAAATCTAGAGTCAGAAAGTGGATTGGTGGTTGCTTAGTGCTGGGAGAGCTGGAGAACTAGGGAGTGGCTGCTAATGGACAGTTTCTTTGGGGAGATAATAAAAATGTTCTGAAACTGATTGTGGTGATGGTTGCACAGTTCTGTGATTATGCTAAAAACAACTGAGCTGTATAATTTAAGTTGGTGAACTATATAGTGTATGAATTATATCTTATTATACTAAAACTGATTTTTTTTAAAAGGAAAGAAACCTATCCCAAGCCCCAATCTTTTCTCAAGTTCCCGACCTGTTTTACTTAAAAGGATGGTACTCCCCAAACTCTAACATGTTTAAAATAGAACCCATTCAACCCAATGAATAATTGAGCCTTACTCCCTGCAAAAAGCTGTAAGAAACATGTTTCTCAAGGAATGAATAAGATGCCCTCAGTAAACTTACATGCTTGTTTTTGATCCTGTTGCCTCTCAATAATGGCATCCCCATTATCCTAGAGCCCCAACTTGAATCTCCAACATAACTATACCTGACTTTCCACTTGCCTTTCAATTAGCATTTGGTAGCCGAGGGACTCAACTCCAGCAGTGTAACAAATCCCACTCCATTCCATCCCCGTGGTCCTAATTCAGATTTTCTTCTGAACACAAACTTATGCAAAAATGCATTTACTAAACAGATCTTTTTAAAATATTTTATTGGGGGAATTGGAGGGGAACAGTGTTGGGGAATTGGGGAAGGGATCAGCCAAGTTGTTGTTCTTCAATCTTAGTTGTGGAAGGCGCCAGTTGTCATCTGGCTTCCGGTCGGCAGCTCATGGTCTCTTAGCTCAAGGTGCTGTGTTCAATCTTAGTTGCGCATGAGTGTAGCCACCATCCCATGTGGGAGTCAAACCAACAGCCTTGTTGTTAAGAGCGCGTGCTCTACCCACTGAGCCATCCAGGCAGCAGCTCAGCTCAAGGTGCTAAGTTCAGTTTTAGTTGCGGGTGGGCGTAGCCCACCATCAAACAGGCAATCTTGTTGTTACACCAGCTGAACCATCCTGCCACCTGTTGGCAGCTCAGCAACAGCTCAGCTTGGGCACAGTGTCACTGGCCCATGTGGCAATCGAACCGACGGCCCTGTTGCTCAGAGTTTGCACTCTTAAGCTAACTCTTAACCAACTGAGCCACTCCGCTGGCCTCTAAACAGATTTTTATCACAAAGAGGTAAGACTGATAACCAGATAAAATGGCTCAAAATAGTCCTCAGGGAAAACTGCCTTTACCTTTCCTAAACTGGTATTGGCTGAAACAGAATTTTAAATGCTTTGGTCACCAAAAGATAACTTCCAATTTACAAAGGCCAACCACCACAAAGCTACCATCATCGCTTGATACTCGTTTGCTACAGACATAATTCTAAGAAATTTCAACCTGCAAAACAACTGAGGCACACTGGCTGTCGAAACATAACACACACCATCCTTTTTCTCCTAGCCCAATTATGGGTCTTCAAGTTTCTCAGTGGCATCGGCACTGAGTCACCAACAGCTGAGTGCCTTGGCTGGAACCCTCAGTGATGGTGTATTTACATGCAAGGCCTACAGTACCAGTTTAAAAGTATTCTCAGCTCACTAGCTTGCACCACTAAACTCTTCCCTCAATTTTTGCCATCTATCAAGATATTGGTAATGCCACATGACTACAGAAACAGAACAAAAATTTACCACCCTGGGCCGGCCGAGCGGCGCGTTGGTTAAGAACTGGCTTGGGACGCCAGCTCTGAGCAGCAGGGGCCTGGTTCGGATCCCACATGAGAGCTGGTAACGCTGTGCCCTCTACAGTGTGAACAGGTGGTGAACAGGCTCAACTTGTAGCTGGGCTGCTGCAAGTCACCAGATATGGCGCAGGCTGTAGCCCCTGTTGCAGTGGGCTGCCATGAGCTACCATGAGTGGCTGGCAGCCAGCGGGAACGGCGGGCAGCTGGTGTGAGCTGCCAAGAGCCGCCGTAAGTGGCCGTCCAGAGGCTGGCAACCTATCTGCCTCACCCGGGAAGAGCGCAATGATAATACCAACTTGGGCCAGCGAAGCAACATCCCCCACAACGAGACTGAAGAACAAAAGGACAGCAACTTGTCTGTTCCCCTTCCCCAATTCCCAAATGCTGTTCCCCTCCCCCAATTCCCCAATAAAACCTTAAAAAAAAAAATTACCACCCAAGCTCTTTAAAACTAAATCTCTGAATACAATGGAGAAACTAAAAACGGTGCAGAAATAGATCTCTACATAGAAAGCTGCCTGATATTTTAACAATCTACATAAACATCAGGACTCTTTAATTTTGATAAAATATATATGCACATAGGAAAATGTTTGAAAGACTACAAGACCATTACTAAGTGTTATCCTGGGTGATGGGCTCACCATGACCTGCATACTTTTTACTTTTTTTACAATGAGTAGGTATTACATGTAAAAAAATTTTTTAAACATTATTTCACAAAATCCAAATATGTAGTTAATAAAAAATAACTGGTAACTGTATATCCCTATATTTTATCAGTATTTTCCCAAATGTCAGTTCTCTGCCTCAACCATAAAAGCTTTTACATAAAAATGTTAAATAAGTGGAAAGAGTAACATAAGCTTATAAAATGTAGACAGGGATTTAGTGCTCAATCCTTACTAATGACCTAGTGGGTGAGGACACCAGATAATCTAGTTTGAGATATAAGCAAAAAAACCCCAGAGATTCACAACCAACTCTGGCCAGCTGCTATTAGCTTATCATCTTTACCATAACACAAATAAGAATCATATTGTTCAGAGAATGAATTTTTTCGTAAAGGAAAAAAATGACTAATATTTATAGGGAGTATGCAGCACAATTCTTCCAATAAAAGAAATGTTTTGAGAAAAGAGAACAATCACCTCTAGATCTTTGTGTTTCAAATACACAAGCTGTGCTGGGGGCAGTCTAGGTGCTGGTTTCCACTTGGGAAGACCCGGGTCCCTATGCTGCCATGCACTTATTATTAGCTGCATGGCGAGGAGTCTGTCACTTGTTTTTCACATGCAAAATCAACAAGTTAACAGAATAATCTCAAAGGTCCTGCCACCCATAAAAATCCCATGACTCTAAGGAAAACTTTTCTATTTCACTTTGTTTCAGCAACGCACCCCCATAGTTACTGACAATGGTGGTACAGAGCCCAGACTAATGCCCACTGCAAGTACTTGAGGGCAAACAGAGGTAATTTAAGAATACTTTACATACAAAAAAAGATAGAAAGCTTTTCTTTAATGTGCCTGAGGCAACTAGGCCGTGTTAATTCCTATCCCACCAAATAACAAAAAGGTGGGGAAAAACCCTACCCATGAAAGATTAACATTGCCGCTCTCAATCTTATTAGAATACATTTTGTAATACTAAAAACCTGACAAAGTGGCAATTTTTACTTTAGTTGTTCAAACACTCCCCCAAACAAAAGTTCTGGAGGTACTAAGTTTATAGCACTAAGCAAAAAAAATGGGAGAAAAAAAATCAAACAAAGAAAACAGCAGAACAGAAAACCATGTGCCCCATAATCCCGAGTCTGAAGGTCTCTCCCCCTTTCAATCCAATGCAAAGGGGCTGCTCTTAACGAAAAGAACAGTTAATAACACTGGGTGCTGCCACACTCTTTTCAAGGGACAATACTCACAATGATCAAGCCCTCAGAAGTTCACAACACTCCTTTCACTTTGAGAAAGGGGTTTTCTTTTCCAAAGATTCAGACACTGTAGCCAATCTCTCTCTCTCCATGAGGGAATTCGGAGAAGGGGCCTCTTCTTGATGGGTCAGAGAGAATCTTTTAACCAGATCCCTAGACAAACTGAAAGTGAGGCAGGGAAGCCCAACTTTTCAACATGGAGCGCGCAGGAAATCTCAAAAGCATCAAACACTGTTTCCCTTTTCCTCCCTTTATTAGCATGCAGAAAAAGGATCCCTGTCTCCACATGGGGAGTGAAAATGCTCCTGATTTCTACTGACAGACTGTCTACATAAAGGATTTTAATTTCTTTTTCAAAGGAAGAGAAAAGAAACCATCTGTGCCACTCTAAATATATAGCAGAAAAGAGTTCTCCTCTCAGAGGTATAGTCTTATTTTTCTGTGAGAGCAAGTTGGAATCTCCCTCTTTGGGGGAGGGGTGCGTAGCTAGAAGGAAGCTTTTTCATCACTAGATCAAGTAGGGGGAGTGGGAGAGGACATCCTTAACCAATGGGAAGAAATGATAGCTTCTATGAACAAAGAAAAGGCTGGCTTTCAGGTATCAAGTCTCCCTACTTCTTGGAGTACAGACCTTTTTCCAAAAACAAAGTCTATTTTCCTGATTATTCTAACTGAGACCATCTTTGTTAATTGGGGTATGTGTGGTAGGATCTAAGAGGATTAATGCCTCTTTCTTCGCCCCAGGGGAAAAGCCTCCTTTCTTGTGAGAAAGGATGGGTTGAATGCTAACGATGGGGGGCTGGGGGCTGGGGTGGATGGGAGGAGACATGCGTGGAAAAATCTATTTCTCTGTAGAAAATATTGGTTTTCTTTTAAAAGCAAATTAAGTAACAGTAATAGCAACAATTTACCAAAAGGTTACTATGTACTAAAGCGCTTACACAAATTCTTCTTTAGCCCCTATGATAATTGTATGACGTTCACTACCCAAATTCGAGATGGGCTGAGAGTGAGAAAGGTTAAGCAATTAGTCAAGGTCACAAAGATGGGAAGTGGGAGACACACAGGCTTGCAACTATCACACTCCAAACGCCACGCTCTTAATTGTGCGAGGGAAAGGTGCTTACTGCACACCAGGAGACTTGGGGAAGAGAAGCGAGGTTCCTTCCCTCTGTGGACATGATTGGGCGAGGGGAGAAAGACTGACTTATGGCATAAAGTAGATTCAGGGTCTTCCTCTCTGTATGTCGGGGGAAAGGTGAAAAATAAAGGAGAAAAGGAAAGTCTTCTACCTTCCACAGTGAAGGAAGATCCCTCTGTCACTTTTAGGCAAGTCGAGTCTCGCTCTTCACTTGGGGGAGGGGAGAAGATGACCAAATCGGGGGAAAGGTCTTGTTGGGGTTGTCTCTTATCCCTCCTTAAAATAAGTTCTGAATCGCCCTATCGCATCCCAGGAGCGGGTCTCGCTCTGCCGATAAACGCCCTGGAGCCGGGTAAGAGCGTACGCCCACGACAAGGGGCGTCGCCCTACCGGAGAAGTTGGGGGTCCTCCGCCGTAACGAGGTTAAAGAGTATCTCTCCCCCGGCCGAGCCATGACTCGGAGAAGCCGTTTCTCCCTCGCGACGCGGGGCCTGGTCTCCTTCCTCTACCCGGATCGTTCCGCCATCAGCAGCGCAGCCTCAGTTGCCTTCGGCACCCCGAGAAGGCGGGGGGCCGGGCTCTCCCTCAACCTGTACCTCCCGGCAAATGGTCCCCTTAGGGTGCAGTGGGGCGGGGCGGCTACGCCCAAAGCCTTCCCGCCTTCGGCCTCTTACCCTGAGGCCTGCTCCGCGGCCCTTGATCGCCCTGCCAGCCTTGCCTCTGCAGCCGCAGCCCCGCCGCCGCGAAGTCTACCTGAGCCTGTGGGGCCAAGAGAGCCCGGGGCGCTCCGGCCGCGGCCGCCTCTTCGTCTCTATGGTTCTCCCCCCACGCCCTGTACTTCCTCATCCGGGGCCCAAGCCAGCCATGCGGGTTCGCCCAAGTTCCGCCCCCGCACGACGCGCGCGCACTGCCAGGGAAGGCTCTTCCAGCGTTGGGCCTCCCGCCCTTGGCTAGTCCCCGTCGTCTTCTGCCCCGCCCCTGCCGTCCGAACTCTTAAAGAGGAACACACCTTTGACCCTGCTTGTGCTGTCTGTCTCCACTGCCAACCCTCGGGTCAAGTCCGCTCTTTCTCTAGTCTGGACGGCTGCAACTCCAGAGACCTCCCGCCTTCCACTGTGGCATCTCAAGAGATTGTTATAAGTGGAATTAGTGTTTTAGATCATATCACTCCCCTGCTTTTCCTAATCCCTCTGACGACTAAATCTAAATGACACCCCTGCTTCCTGTCCTGTAAGGCCTCTTGTTTTAATTTTTTCTAGCTTTAACACTAGCTGAAATGGCCTTGTTTCATCTCTTTATTGATTCTTTTACTATCTGTCCTTTCCCACCCCTGTGTTTTGTTCATCATTCATTGCTCAGCACCTAGCAGTGCCATGTACAAGTAGACACTCCATAGACATTTGAACAAAGGAAGAGAATGTTTATCCAAGAGGGAATTGAGGAGGTCCAGGGAATGCAATCGACTTGCCCCAAATCACACAGCTTTCTTTTAAAAACAGAAATCTGATATATTTGAGCCATGTGGACCATTATGGCTGAGATAATGGTTTTCTTAGCTTTAGTTAGGGCTGGAGATATACAAACCCAAATGCCAACCCTATTGTTTACAGCCTGTGAGTCCATATATTGCCCACATATGCATGTACAGTTCACATATAGGCTACTACAGAGGCTATTGGGCTGAATTAATTAGAAATTTACTTTAAAACATTTCTGCGTTTACAGTATCTATGTCCTTAAGTACTTTCTCAGGCAACTGTTTGCCTATGGAAGAGAATCTGAGAAACCCAGCATTACTGGTTTGTCCTTCTGCCTCAGGCTGTAACATGACTCTGCACAGCACCATTATAGATCTTGTCTTTATTTAAAAATGTGATTATTTTGTACATCATGAATGTTTGTATTAATTTTTATTTTAAAATACTGCATTAAATAAATATTTATCTTGCTCACTGAGTTTTTTGGCACATCCTGCAGGTGGTTGTAGCGCAGAGGTTGTAGAATCAAGGCTGTTGGATCCCCTGCCTGGGAGCTCCAGCCTCCCCTAACCTTGACCAGCTTTAGATAAATTTTAAAAATCTCAAAATTTGCCAAAGTGTTGCAAGAACTTTGGCCAAATTAAAAAGTGGAATATTTGCATTTCTAAGATATCATTCCAATTATGGACATCTCTAAGGAGAAAGAATCAAATTTCCCTGAGGGCCAGGAAGAGAGAAACCTATTAGTTCCCTCTGAGATGGAAGAACTTCCCACCAGCCTCTGCTGCTAAGGTCGGAAAACAGCCTGGGGATCTGGGTGTGCTGGGTGTGTGGCTAAATTGGCAACATAAAATCTTTTACATTTAACATTTTACCTCTGAAAAATTTTGCAGTTGTTTCAGTTCATTTGATTATATGTTTCCCTATAATATAAAAATTACAATTATTTAATATTTAATTTCCAAATCCTAAAGTAAAACTTCCATGCTTAAAAAAAGCTGTCTTGCCCCAGGGATTCCCTTCACCCACTCCCAAATCTCTTTGTGGTATACGATGTTTTTAATCTTTCAATATTCAGAAAATACCAGAAAAAAGGTTAATTACATAGAGCTCTCGCAACTTGTCAGGAGACTTTGGCCAGCTTTAGGCACAGCCCACACAGCTCTGATTTTCTCCTTGAGAGAAAAGTGTCCCTGACTGATAGGGGCTTAGGTTAAACCCTTGGGGGGTGACATGAGGATGCTGGTTAAATGCTTAGACTTCGGAGTCGAGTTGGACCTGACTGGGTCAGGATCTGTCCTTTCCCCAGCCCATTTCCCCGTGTGTGAAATACAATAGAGATGTGCCATCTAATAGAGATGTGACGATTACACAAGGATGCCTGTGAAAGCTATTAGCTATTATTGATAACCAGAAAGGAACAGAACGTCATTTGGGGGTTGGATTTGAAAAGCCCCCCAAAATGGATACTTCCCAGCAGGGGCCATCGTACTAAGTTGCATGTGTTCAGCCCTTTGCAAAAAAAAGTTCTCCCAGAAACTCTATTTTGTGCCTCTTGGTAGCCCTGCAAGGCCAGACGAAGATCCGTAACATTCTCTTTATAGATCCGGGGAGACTCGCCCCAGTTTGCCTTGTTCGGGGATTATTAAGTTGGAAACGAAGCTCTCGGGCTCAAATCTATTTAGGAAAGTCTAGGAGGAAAAGAATTTCCTCTCTAGTGGGGGCGGTCGTCTGGTCAGTAAGCAAGAAACGCAAGGCGCAGCCAGAGTTAGAGGCCGCACGCGACGCCCCACCCCCGGCATAAGACCCGGATGGGGAAGTGGCGCGGACACCGAGAGGAGGCGGAGGCCGGGCCAGAGAGGCCCGGGGCGGGTGGGCGGGAAAGAGGCGGGGCCCCGGGCGGGGCCACCGGAGCGGCGCGGGTTCTCAGGTGAGCGCTTCTTGGTTGGGGCGGGCTGGTCTGCGCGTAGAGCTCCTGCAAGAAAGCTGCACAGGCTGTGGGGGTGTAGGCGGGGCGTCCAGAGGAGGCGCGGAGACCCAGCGAGGGTCCAACCCTCGGGGCCCCAGCCTGAAGCGGGAAGGGGCTCCGGAGCTGCGGGTGAGTGGAGCTGCCAGCTGGGGCCCGGGCTTGGGGAACATGAGGGAGGGGGCCCTGGCTCTGATTCGAGTCCTGGCCTCACTCCCAATCCGCTGTGTGACCTTACTTAGACAGAACTCGTTACCTCTCTGAGCCTCAGGGACCTCAGCTGTGGAATGAGAGTCGGGGGGAGGAACCGCTGAGAGTTTGTACAGACGGAGGTTCGGGGAATGCACCCTTGCCCTCCCATTTATACTCTGTTTGCCCAGGATATTGACGCCGAAACGTGAACGGGGCGGGGAATGCCTCTCAGTCTCTGAGTGACCTTGGGCAAGTCTCTTGCTCTGGCTCCCGCTTTCCTCATCTACAGAGTGAGTGTGCTTACCTCTGGCAAGTTTCTTGCTGTGGCCCTCGCTTTCCTCATCTACAGGATGAGTGTACTTACCTCTTAATATTTCTTTATTATTTGAGCGTTATTGGTTTAGACAGAGGCAAAGTAATGAGTGCCCTGTTCACTACAAGTTTTCCCTTTAGCGGTGTGATAGAGAGAATGCCTTCTTGGAGGCTGGACTACACCCTGGCCTGTATTCCCCTTAGTTCCCAGATTCTGTGGTTCTATTTGTTCTCCATCCCTCCTTGTACTAGGAGGAGTGATTTCATCTAAGGGTTGATGCCCCTTCTTAGCTGAGTAAAACCAGAATTTCACTAGCCTAAAAGCAAAACAGTTGCAAGGAAAAGTCCAACGTTTCAGCCTTTTTATTTGTGTTTCAGTGGCAAGGACGCAAGATGACTTCTCTCCCCCAAGCCTGGAACAGCTGAAGGAAACAGAACAAGATGAGAACAACAAAAGTCTACAAACTGGTCATCCACAAGAAGGGCTTTGGGGGCAGTGGTTAGTATTGACTGGTGTTTCGGGGTTGTGTAAGTTGGCTGAGGTTCTGGTATGTCCAGTGCCTTGAAAATTAGACACTGGCTCATATGACAATGGAGGCAACGTAACTGAGTGAAGCAGCAAGTATAATACAGTAGCGGGAGGACAGTATGACTGGAGAGCACAGGCCCTTTCTAAAAGCATTTGCACTCTGACTTTTAAGGAACATTGTGAATATTGCCAATTTACTACCCTTCATTTGTATTTTTTAATTATATACTTACTGTATATTTTCCATAAAATTCCAGTCTGCACTGGTTTGGCAGAGAAGAGAAACTTACATTCAGTGAGAGAGAAATAGCAGATGTGCATAAGACAGGATCAAAGCACAAACCTTTATGTGGCTGCGAGACATACTGAAAAGGGGCAGGACATAGTGTGCTTATCCTGCACTAAATCAGAACCCAGAGTATCAGCTCTGCCTCTAACTTTCCCTGTGACTTTGGGCAAGTCCCTAGTTTACCATATCTACAAATTCAAGCCCTTTAAAATAGTTTTTCTGTTTCTCTTATCACATTGAGTCTATAAATCTGCAGAATAGGATGACAGTAACATGAGTTTTTTTCATTTTGTAAATGAACCAATTCCCCTTTTGTTCTAACAACCTTATTTGCTTTAGAAATTGGAATTAACAACACAAGTCTTTTTGAAATTGTATTTTAATATGCATTTGCTCCAAAAGCAAGGTCTGGCTAAAAGTGAAAACAATAGTTTTATATCATACAGTGTTGTGTGGATCAAGTTAGATGATGTATGTAAAGCATTTAGCAGAGCACCAGGCTCATGAGTGCAGCTCAATAAATTAGCCATTATAAAGACCAGGACAAGGATATACCAGGCATTGTTATTTTTTTTTAGCTGAGCCATCCTGCCACATTTTGGCAGTTCAGTGGCAGCTCAGCTCGGGCTGGGCATCAAACCGCTATTGCTCAGAGCTCGCACTCTTGAGCCAGCTCTTAACCAACTGAGCCACTCGGCCAGCCCCTACCAGGCGTTGTTATATTTAAAACATTTTCTGCTAAAATGTAAATCTGTGGTTAGCACTGTACTTGGTATGCAGTTGAGGCTGCCTAAACATTTGTGGAGCAGAATTGAATAGATAGCAGAAATAACTCTTGGCAGAGGGAAGGATACAAAGATATAGTGTATATAGTATATATACAATGTATCCAATTCTGCTTTTTCATGTGTATAAGACAAAGGAAGCTAGATGCTGTGCCCAGTCTCCAAGACTATGAATGAAAAACACATCCAACAAATACTAGGTGCGTACCTGTGCCAAACATAAAGATTATGAATATGACAGGGTCCCTTGTCGCTAAGGGGCTTTCAGCATGATGAGACAGATGTGCAAAAACGGAAATGATAACACGAAACAGAATACATGCTCGGAGCTTAATTTAGACTATGGAAGTTAGGGAAAGGCTTCACAGAGGATTTGGCATAAAAACTGTCAATGGAAGTAATATACCAAATAATTTTTTTCCCCTAGGCTGAACTTTTGTTGTTTGTATTTGAAATCTCGATATACTCATTTGTCATGGTTTTAGCATAATTAAAGACCATGTTTTTTCCCCCCAAATTAAAACAGGAAAAAAAATCACTCCATCTGTATGGTTCTGAGTATGTTATATTTGAAAGAGTTCTCCATCCCCATTGAGGAGCAGGGGTAAATAAACATATGAAATTATGTCCTCCCTACATTTTAAGGGTCTCTTCGGACCCTAATGTGAACTTATATCCGAAGTTTTTTTCCTGATCAAGTGCTGCCCTTGAAAGTCCAGACTTTATTTTTTTATTTCATTTGGCTTGATTTTTGTGACATATGAAAGGTGGTGGGCTTTAGGTAGAAGGAACCCTGTACTAGTCATCAGTCCTGGCTCTGCTGTTACTAGCTGTCTGCCCTTCGGCAAGTTGCTTTATATTCTAGGTTATTTCCTCATTTCTGCTACATCCACAGATATATTGTGAGAGTCACAATCAGCCAATATTTTTGTATAATTTTGGATAAATATAAGGGATTGTACTGTAATACCAACCTGATGATGTTATGAGTACTCAACGTGAGGACATACACTACAACCTGTCATGCAAGTGTTTTCTGCTTGAGATTGCTGAATTTCTTTCAGATGATGAGCTGGTCATGAATCCCAAAGTGTTTCCTCACATCAAGCTTGGAGACATCGTGGAGATTGCTCACCCCAATGATGAATATAGGTTAGTGTCAGACTAGGTTTAAGGGAATTAACTGGGCAACCTGCTGTTTCCAAGTGATATTTTGTCTAAGGGGCTTGAATGGCAAGACAGCTTTTTGCCTTTGGATAAAAATGCTCCTGCCCTATAGGATTTGATAAACCAATAATCTTTTAAAAAGTGGTCCATTCTTTCTGTTTTTAAAGCTGAGGTGACAGCTCTGTGAAAAATCTGTGGCATTTATCCTTTTCCTTGAACACAAGTGCAGAGTTTCTTTGTTTCTAAGGGAACTTTCTTCCATTGTTGTGCTGCATGTTACAACAATATGTCCAGAGTGATCTCTCTGCCATTTGTTGGTGGTGCAGAAAGCTAATTAGTTACTGCTTGCAGCATCCCATCTCTTAGTTGCTTTTTTTTTCTTTCCAGCCCTCTGCTCTTGCAGGTCAAGTCACTTAAGGAAGATTTACAGAAAGGTAAGAATTCCATCTCTCCTCAAGATTTTTACTCTTTACTGTTCCAGAAACTGCAAGAAACCTCTCTTTACAATCTCAGGGAATGAGGGCACAGTATTTCTCTCCTTATCAAATTGTGCTCCCTCTTAAAAAAAAAGGGTCAGATATCAAAACTGCCAAGGAATCTCATTTGTTAGCGTCTGGTACTGAAGAAACTATCTAATTTAGAGTCAGGAGGGAAAATTAATCTGAAGAGGTGAAGCTTTATACTTAACTCCAAAAGGAAAAAAAAATGTTGGCAAGCATGCTTTCTTAAATACTAAGTTTTTGCACAAAATATTTGTTAAGTGCCTACTCTGGATGAGGCTGGGAAAGAAACATGTTGATAATTACCTACAACATGTGCAGAACACTGACCTGAGTGCTGTTTGTAATCTCTTTATCTTCCCACCAACTCTTGAGTGAGATGAACTGACTTGCCTGAAGTCAGTGAGTGTAGGAGCCAGTGGTGATTCTGCTTACTTATTCTGGATGCAAATCCTTTCTTTTTTCTGCTAATGACTTTACCATGTTGATCAAGGAGTTAAAATGTTAATGATAGCAAATAAGGTAATACCCTAAATAGTATAATACTTAAAGGGGGAAAAAACCTTCTAATTTGCTCTAAAGGATTTTGATGTCAATTACTTCTTTATATTTCAGCTTGATAAGGAAACATTCTATAAAACCCAAATCCTAAGAGTGTCCTTATCCTCCCTACCCTCTGTCTCCTGCCACCTGTTACCAGATTTAAGGGCTAATTGAGAAGTTTCTTACTTTCTTTCTTAATCACCACCACTGTATTCTAAATAAAAAGGGATCTCTTACTGTTCTGAATTTCCACAGCTTTTTGACTTTTTTTTATGTAGCTTCATAAATTCTTTATTTTCTCTTCTCTCTGTGTCCTATTTCTGTCTCTCTTTTCTTTTTTAATTGTTTGGGCTTAGGTCTTACTTCACCTGCTTGTGTCACCTGAAAAGCAGAGAATTCTAAATTTTAAGCTCCTGGAAGGCAGAGAACATGCCTTGTCCATGGCAAAGGGTCAATTGTGTTGCTTGTTGAATGTCTGAATATTTATAGATTAGAATATATTTACCTGCATTTTTGCAGAATGTATTATCTGATCCAGATTTCTTTTCTGTTTCAGAAACTATCAGTGTGGACCAAACCGTGACACAAGTGTTCCGTCTAAGACCTTATCAAGATGTCTATGTGAATGTAGTAGACCCTAAGGTATGACTTTGTTCTGGACTTTATCTTTTGGAGATGATTGGCACCATTCCTCAAGATTGGGTCTCTAAGGAAATAATGAGTTACTTCAGTATAGTGTTAGACTATTAATTATGTGGTCACGTGTAGGTCATTTATTTTATAGGTAGTATGTAGGTTGCATCTAAAACCCTTCCCCCTCCCCCGTTTTTTTAAAGTTTGTCTTAAAAAGATTTTGTATATATATATGAATATATGTGTTTGGAGCTAAATGTAAAATTTGTGTAAAAATTTAGTATTAAAATACTAAAATTTTTTTCTCATTTTTCTTTTAGATGATGCTATAATAGGTAAAAAAATCATTGTCTAAAAGATATTATTGACATTATGAAGGGAAACAAAGCACACAGCTCAATGTCATGTTCGTGTGCCAGAATCAAGACTAAAACACAGAATTAGTACTGTGGCACTTTTTTTTTTTTTTTAAAGATTTTTATTAGGGAATCGGGGGGATGGGAACAGTGCTGGGGAATTGGGGGAAGGGGAACAGACAAGTTGCTGTCCTTTTGTTCTTCAGTCTAGTTGTGGAGGACGTTGCTTCACTGGCCCAAGTTGGCACCATCATTGCGCTCTTCCCGGGCGAGGCAGATCAGTCGCTGGCTTCTGGACGGCTGCTCACTGCGGCTGCTGGCCGCTCACGCTTGCTTCTGGCTACATACGGTAGCCCATGGCAACCCACTGCAGCAGGGACTGCAGCCTACACTGTCACCAGCGCCGGCGACTCACGGCAGCCCAGCTCCAGGTTGAGCTGTTGTTCAGCATCTTAGCTGTAGAGGGCAGTGTCACTGGCCCTCATGTGGGATCCGAACCGGGGCTCTCTGGCATCCCAAGCCAGTTCTTAACCATCGCGCCACTCGGCTGGCCCCTGTGGTACTTTTTTAACCTAACCAAGATACAGCTGCTGTACCATCTATTACAACTGATCATCTGTACTCAAAAGCCTTCTTTGGCAGAATAAAATTGTATTTGTCTGGATTCTGCTATTGAATGGTCTTCCAGGAGATTTTTGTTTTTTGTTTTTTGGATTTTTTTTTTTGCTAAAAGCTTTCTCCATAATGAGTGGGCATTATCCTATGACTATAAAGTGTGCCAGAGTAATGTAGAGAGATATATTTGATTATCCCTTTTAGGATGTGACCCTTGACCTAGTGGAATTAACCTTTAAGGATCAATATATTGGCCGTGGGGATATGTGGCGACTAAAGAAAAGTTTGGTAAGAGATTATTTTTTAAAAATCTGTTTTTCCATTATATTTATAATCCTGTTCATCATAAAGATGAGAAGATCTAGTAGGGAGAAGAGTTTAAAATAATTCCAAATTCTAGCATCACAGACAATTATTGTAAACACTGTGTGTATCTTCTTCCATTCTCTTTTTTTTTTTTTTTAAAGATTTTATTGGGGAATTGGGAGAGGGGAACAGTGTTAGGGAATCGGGGAAGGGGAACAGACAAGTTGCTGTCCTTTTGTTCTTCAGTCTACTTGTGGAGGACGTCGCTTCACTGGCTCATGTTGGTATTATCATTGTGCTCTTCCCGGGTGAGGCAGATCAGTCGCCAGCCTCTGGACGGCCGCTCACAGCGGCTGCTGGCCGCTCACGCTGGCTGCCAGCTACACACAGTAGTTTATGGCAACCCACTGCAGCAGGGACTGCAACCTACGCCATTGCTGGCAACTCATGGCAGCCCAGCTCCAGGTTGAGCTGTTGTTCAGCATCTTTGCTGTAGAGGGCAGTGTCACTGGCCTTCATATGTGGGATCCGAACCGGGGCCCTCTTGCATCCCAAGCCAGCTCTTAACCAGTGCGCCACTCAGTTGGCCCTTCCATTCTCTTTTTATAGTTTTTTTGAGTTCTTTTTTTTTTTGCTTGATTTTTGTGAGTGATTTTTGGTTTGAATATGAAATGATATTATTTTATATATGAATGGGACTTCAGTTTTCATATTATCACTTGATCTCATTTGCCCCTCGCATTTCCTTCTGGACAGGTATTTGTTACCCCTAATTTATAGATATGAAAACTGAGATTGAGAAGTTAAATGATTAGACAAGACTGGAAAGCTAGTAAGCGACTGACACTGGGCTAGAATTCAGATATTGTCTCTTCTAGGTTAGACTGCTTTTGCTGTACCCTCTTCCCATTTTTCTTATTTATTTACTTTTAATGAACATTTTCCACTTAAAATGATGAGTTCATCAGAGTTGTGAGCTGGTGCTGAAAATTCTCCTTGTTGGACTTCTTGAGTATTATAAAACAACAAATTATAGGTAGGATTTCCAAACAGTATATTTTCAGAAAAAAACGTATCTTCACTTATTTTTGATGGTGGGAGGAGGGTTCCATTTTCTAAAATGAGAGAGAAAATGAGAAATAAATGTTCTATATTTAAATGAGTATGTATGCAAACATATGGGAAGATAAGTATATTGGTGAAGCTGAGCACTTATCCACCTGGTCTTTAGTATTGTCTATACTTGCCTAGCTCTTAAGAACCTACTGTTTTACCTGTCCCAGCAGGTATTCCTATGGGATAAATCTATTACTCCCATGTTAATTGAACTTAAGATTGTTAAAAGACATTAGAAAGCCAGGGCAGTTTTTTGTGACCTTTTATAGCCTTGATGTGTTGTAGAATCTCTCTCTCTCTCTTCCCTTAGGTCAGCACGTGTGCCTATATCACTCAGAAGGTGGAATTTGCTGGCATCAGGTAGATATTACATCACTCTTGACTTACCTGCTAGTAAACGGGTGTAGGATCTAATGCAGTAACTTGGCTACAGACAGCGTTTGAGGTATATAAATGTCCATATAATAAAATGCACAGTAGCTTAAAATGTTAGATTGTTGTAGCTAAAACAAACCAGAAAACCCAAAATACTTAGAGTAATTTTAAGGTGAGTGAGAGTTGCTGAAGCCACCTGGTATTTTGTAGACTCATAGTTTTAGAACTGGAAACAGCATTATTTTTCTTTATTTTTAAAATTTTTTATTAAAATATAGCTAACATATAGTATTATATTAGTTTCAGGTGTACACAGTAGTTATTCAACATTTCTGTATCTAAAGAAGTGATCACCATGATAAGTCCAGCAACCATCTGACACCATACTGTGCTATCACAGTATTGATTATATTCCCTATGCTGTATATTACATCCCCATGACTTCCTTGTTTTATTTCTGGAAATTTAAAATTCTTGTTCCTCGTCACATCCCCCCACTTTATTTTTAATTTTTCCATTACAGTTAACATTCAGTATTATGTTAATTTCAGGTGTACAGCATAGTGGTTAGACATTTATATAATTTAAGAAGTGATCCCCCTGACTAGTCTAGTACTCATCTGGCACTATATATAGTTATTGCCATGTTATTGACTATAGTCCCTGTGCTTTACTTTATATCCTCATAACTATTTTGTAACTACCAATTTGTACTTCTTAATCCCTTCACCTTTTTTACCCTGCCCCAACCCCACTCCTGTCTATCACCGCGATAAATCTAGTACTCTGACACCATACATAATTATTACAATATTATTGACTATATTCCTTATGTTATACCCTACATCCCTATGACTACTTTGTAACAACCAATTTGTACTTCTTAATGCCTTCCACTTTTTCATCCGCTCCCAACCCCCTCCTATTTGCAGCCTACGCCGTCACCAGAGACTCAAGGCAGCCCAGCTCCAGGTTGAGCTGTTGTTCAGCATCTTAGTTGTAGAGGGCAGTGTCACTGGCCCTCATATGTGGGATCCGAATCGGGGCCCTCTGGCATCCCAAGCCAACTCTTAACCAATGCGCCACTCAGTCGGCCCTCCCCATCAACTTTTCACCTAATGATCATTTCACTTAGTTGTCCATTGATGATTGTTGCAAGATGATGGTTTTCTAATTCAGTCATCCTATTTTTATTAGGCAGAATCCTGTTGAAAAGAACTTTTACCAGCAACTAGGGTTATTTGATTAGTCTGAACGACTTGATCATTCAAGAAAGGATGAAGGATTCACTTTTTCCAAAAACGGATGTTTTAAAAGTTGGAGGGTCAGAATTTTTTGAAAAATCTTAGCAACTTAAAGCATAGTCCAAGAAGTGACGAAGTTTCGAGCAGAACAAGAAATGTGACCTAGATTCATGCCTTCTGATATAAGCTAGTCTCTTGGAGGTGGTGGGCCAGGATTCAGGAAACCTATATGCTACTCCTGTAGTGCCAATGATTGGCAGGGTGATGTGGTCAGGTCGAGAGTCTCTGAGTCTATTCATCTGCAAAATGAAATTGTTGATTTAGAATCTTTCTCTGTAAAGGACCAGATAGTAAATATTTTAGACTTTGGGCCACATGGGTCTCAGGTCTGTGTTGTAAATTATTTGCTTTTCTCCGCCATTTTGAAATGTAAAACTTGTTTTTAGATGTGGGCTATACAAAAACAGGAGATGGGCTTGATTTGGCCTGCAACTGTTATTTCCTGGGCTCTGGTTTAGAAACCTCGGATTTCTTTCATTTGTAAATTCCTTGTTTCTCTGTGTAAATGTCCTCCTGTACATGATGCTAGACAGAAATTAAAACACTGGCATAAAGGCAGTTTTAGACATAAAGATCTTTTCTAATATTTTGTTCATCCATTGTTAAATGTAAACCACAAAATCTTCTACCATTTTTCCAGAAGATTTCTTTATAGTCTTCCTACACTGAATCAAAAGTGTCTTCTCCTACCTACATGAAGCATGAAAAAGAAAAAATGATGCTCATATGAAAATAAAAGTCTATTCATTATTTGTATAAAGTCATAATAAATTATTAAAGGATTTCTCTGTAGTTGAGCCTTTTTAACCTGGTAAATTAGTCAATAATTAAGGATATATGAGAGTTTTATTATCTTGAGACCCCGCATTATTTTTCCTTAATAGATAAACATTTTGATTTTTCTCTGAGCACATTTGTAGTGTATTCTTTAAAATGTTAAAAAAACAGCATTTTAAGAAAATTAAGGAAAATTTTAAAAGACAAATATTGCACCTAAATCTTATTTCCTAGCAATTAGAATTGCTTTTTTAAAATATTGAACTTAGAAAATTAGTCTATTTGATTTCGTTATGAAGAGATCTTTTTCTCCCTGGTATAGTTTTTGGGACTGCTGACTAATTGTGGTTTCTTTTTTTACTTAAAAAATCTTTTGTTTTCTGACTAATACACCAGAGGGAACAACACCGAATAATTTCTGGCCCTGACTTCTCAGCTGTCCAGGAGCAGACAGAGCTGTGTGGAGAGTTACACTTAAAGCCCCTCCAGTTTAGGGGTTTTCCCACTAGATCCACCCCACTTCAGAGGATCTTCTGGGATCTTCCCTGACTTGAACTCTGATTCTATGGTGGTCATTCTCTTAAAATGTTTCCCTAGTTATAGAATTGATACTGTTAGGTACCACTTTGCCGCACATGCTATATACCAGGCAATATGCTAAGTATTTTGATATACAGTGCTTGCTTGTTGTGGAGAATTTGAAAAAGAATAGAGAAGCAGAAATCAAAACAATATTACCACTCAGAAGCAACCACTGTTAACATTTTGACATAGTTCTGTGAAAATATTGGGGTTTTTCCCCCCCTTTTGGCATGAGACCATATAGTATGTACAGTTTTATATACTGATGAAAACAAAACTCAAAACTCTGATTTTTAAAAATACGTATTTATTCTAGAAAATTTGGATACTACAGAGACTATAAAGAAGAAAATTTACAATGGTATATAAGCCAACTACCGACAAATAACTACAATTAAATTTTAGTGTGACCTTCCAATATTTTATTTGCATACATACATGTACAAACATGTATCTTTATTTAGATGATGATGCTATTTTGTATCCTTTTTCCACTTAAAAGCATATAAACATTTCTGGGGAAGTTAAAATCTTGTGTAAACATTATTATTTTTTTAAAAGATTTTATTGGGGATTTGGGGGGAGGGGAACAGTGTTGGGGAATTGGGGAAGGGGAACAGACAGGTAGACAAATTGCTGTTTTTGTTCTTCAGTCTAGTTGTGGAGGACGTCACTTCACTGGCCCATGTTAGTATGATCATTGTGCTTTTCCCAGGTGAGGCAATCGGTCGCCGGTTATTGGTCGGCCGCTCACAGCAGCTCCCGGCAGCTCACACCGACTGCCGGCCACTCACGCTGGCTGCCAGCCACTCATGTAGCTTATGGCAGCCTGCTGCAGCCTATGCCGACGCTGGCGACTCATAGCAGCCCAGCTCCAGGTCTAGCTGTTGTTCATCATGTTAGCTGTAGAGGGCGAGTGTCACTGGCCCTCAATGTGGGATCCGAACCGCAACTCTGCTGCTCAGAGATGGTGCTCTCAAGTGAGCTCTTAACCAGCTGAGCCACTTGGCTGACCCAGTAAACATTATTTTAATGGTTCTATGATATTCTGTTCTCTGGATACACAAATTTACTTAACTGGTCGCCACCACTGGACATTTACCGTATTTGCCGGCGTATAAGACGATTTTTTGGCCCTGAAAAATATGCCTCCAAGTTGGGGGTCGTCTTATACGCCAGGTACACTTCAGATAGACTGCCCATAGTGCTTTCCCCGTGCCATAGTGGCCTCCCGATGCCCGCCCACTTCATTCCACATACCGTTCAGGCATCAGCAGCGCTGCTGGGTGTATGCTCGGCTGTTATGCGATTTTGCTGTTATGCGATTTTACCACACTCGCAAAATCGCACACAGCCGACCATACACCCAGTATGATAGCGCAAAATCGCGAATCGCGATTTATGTATATGTTTGATTACATACAGCCTTGTGACAGTTTTCCTGCATGTCATAAGCATTTGAATATAAATTTAAATGTTGAAATCAAATCTGATATTGTTTTACCTTTTATTTGGTGTGTGGAAGGTGTGCGGAAGAGGGGGTAGTCTTATACGGCAAGTATATAACAAACTGTATTTTGAGTGGAAATGTTAGGGGGTCGTCTTATACGCCCAGTCGTCTTATACGCCGGCAAATACGGTAGGTTGTTCAAAGATGTGTAATGCAGTGACACTACGGTGACCATACTTTGCATTTATTTTAACTTTTTATTCACAGAATAATGAGACTTAACTGTAAAGGATAATGGAGATCACTGACCCCCAACAGCTCATTTGATAGAAAAGGGAGGGCAAATGACCTGCCCAAAATCCTAACCAAAGACTAGTGCTCTCAGGTCCCCTTCATCCTGATCTAGGGCTTGACACTATGCCACTCTGCGTTTAGTATGGAAGCCACGTATGCTCCTGGGTTGTGTGCTGGGGGATATGGATTTGGCATTTGCATGTGTTTGTGAAATTTCTTTCTCTGTTGAATCAGTAGAAAAGAGAAGAGATGCTGCCTCAGGGCCATTCTCAGTTCCTGTTTGAATGAGGGTTTATTTAGGCTTAGCAAAGGTCAAGGTTTTTTTTCTCTCTTTCTCTCATAAAAAACCATGGGAATAATCATAACTATTGTGCCATGTACCAAGTCCTCTCATTTACAGTATCTCCTCTCATTGGGTCCTCCCAAGAGGTCTAGATGTTAGATAGGGCAAGGTTCTTAACCACATTTACTGAATTTTTCAAAAAAACTGAAGCTTAGAAAGATTATGACTTGACTTCTACAGGGAATGGAGGCACAAAAATCTACGCCCAAATTTTGTAGCACCCTTTGTCTATGCATACTAATAGAAGTCGGTTGAGTGAGTGCATTATCAACAAGCTCATTTTAGAGGTCTGGGTAATTTGGTGTTCAGTAGCTTGTATGGAGAGTACTTCCGGCTAATAGATCTCATAGATCATGGGACATTCAGTCCTTTCTTATAATGTTAAAGAAACAGAAGTCCTTGCTCAAGTCAGGCTTACTGCAGTTGTCCACTCACAGACACACTTGGGCAAAGGATTAATAAGAAGCACTCTTGGTGAAAGCAGAGCTGAGACCCTGAGAAACATATTTGAAAAACAGACTTGGTCCAACCTTCATTTTACAGATGAGAGTGAGGCACAAGGAGCCTCCAGTGTTTCCCAGGTAGCCTGTGCTGTGATTCATGGTACACAGCATTTTCCTTGCTTTTGTTTTATCTTTTCCTCATTATTTTATGAGGACTGATTGTTTAGGGCTGGGCAGGCAACTGTATTGGAGTTGGTAGAATAGAAGGGCTTGCGTGATTGGTTGAAAGATGATTATAGGGTCCTTGGGCAATAGCTACCACTTCTCTGGAATAACGTTTTGTGTTACTATTTTCCCATTGATTGTTTTTGCTCATACAAATAGCCACTAGTACTCTTAACTGTTTTTTGTTTGTTTGTTTGGTTGGTTGGTTTTTTTGTAAAGCTGAGGCTCGGAAAGATTATGGCCTGTGAGCTAGACACTACATCTGTAGTGTCTCCTCCCCCAGCACTGTCCTGAGCAGCTTCCCTGAATTATCTGGTTTAATTCTCAAAACAACTCTATAAAGTAGGTGTCATTATCTCATTTTTTTAGTTAAGGACACTGAGTTATTTCCCCAAGGCCATTCAACTAGTAAGCGACATTCAGAACTGAGATACCTGCCTAGACTGATTTCACTCCAGATTGGTCAGCTCTGAAGGCCATGCTCTTTGTACTTTCCATTTCACACCTTGAAAAAGTTGCAGAGACGAAAACATCAAGACCCCCAAATGCAATAGCAACTTGCCACGAAAATTATTCAGTAGAATGGCCTCCATTGAATAGGGACCCTGTCCCTTCATGCCTCCTGACTGCCTGTCTTCTAATCCTGATATTAAGATGGATTTTGTTCTGTTGAAACTCATTGCATCAAAGCTGGTATTAGCAAAATTGTTCATGGTGCTGCTTAACTGTTTTTGTGACATGGACTCTTTAAGATTTGACAAAAGCTATAATTCTCTGCCCAGAAACCTTTGCATCATTTCAGAAGGTTCATAAATTCTCCGAAGCCCTTCCTTAGAGCTGCATGGACTCCCCAGATAAAGAGCTCCTGTTGTACATAATCAATATGCTCTAAGAATACTGAATGTTGTATAATCTGTTCATGGCGCTGTCTATGGAAGTCTATACCTGGCCAGGTCATTTGGGTGTAAGTAAGAAAGTAGAGTGAGCTACCCTGAAGTCACCTCTGTTTCTTCATGGTTTATATAAGACTTGTAATAACTTGGGTATGTATCTCCTTTCAGGGCACAAGCTGGTGAGCTGTGGGTCAAGAATGAGAAGGTCATGTGTGGTTATATCAGTGAAGATACCAGGGTAAGACTGATAAAATGCTTTTTGGTTTCGTTTCCCCATACCATTATGTCTAAGTCCTGAAATAAAAAACAAAATAGAAACAAGCAAAAACTTGCCATTCTCACAATGGCTACTGTCTGTCTGCCAAGGTGGGCTATATTGTAATATTGTAGGGACCTCTAAAATGCTAATGTTTTATAGTTGGAGCTCTCCAGTTTGGGGATGATCTTCATTTTCTTCTACTGAAGGAGGTCTATTTAATATCAGACACAGAGATGTAGTGTCTAGTGTGCAGACTTCAGTGCCCACTAATACATAACAAAAGTTAGTCTCAGTAATAGATTGTGTTGGTAAACACAAAGAGAGTCCTTTGCAAAGGAACCTCCTTTGCTGTCTATTCTGGTTGGAAAAATCCCAACTGAACAGCTGCAAATATTACCCATGCTGGTTAAGCCATCCACCCATTCTTCCTTGTTCTCATCCCCCTGGAGAGCAGTGGTTCTCAAATGGGGACAGTAGTTCCTCCCCAGGGATCTTTTGCCAATGTTTGGGGACATTTTTGGTTGTCACAACTGGGGTTGTGTTGAGGATGATGCTAAACATGCTTCAATGTATAGGACAGCCAATAAAGAATTACCTGGCCCCAAATGACAATAATGTTATGGGGGGCTGTTTTGTGCATTGTGGGATGTTTAGCAGCACTCCTGGCTTCTACCAGCTAAATACCAGTAGCACCTTCTACCCTCTTACTTTGCAAGTCATGAGAACCAGAAATGTCTCCAGACATCACCAAATGTCCCCTGAGGGAGCAAAATTGCCCCTATTGAGAACCAGTGCCCTTAAAGGTTACCACTATCTGAATTTTATTTTTGTAATTTGTGTGTGTGTATTGTTTTACCCTAAGTAGCATGTTATTTGTTTTGCTTAGTTTGAGCTTTATTAAAGTGGAATAAAAATCTATGTGATTTTTTTTTTTAAGCTAGCCTATTTCTACTCAATACTATATATATATATATTTTTTTTTTTTTAGCTGAGCCATCCTGCTACCTGTTGGCAGCTCAGCGGCTGCTCAGCTCAGGCTGGACTCGAACCGCTGTTGCTCAGAGCTCAAACTCTTGAGTGAGCTCTTAACCAACTGAGCCACTTGACCGGCCCTTCAATACTATATTTTTAATCTATAATTAGGAGTGTATTTGCTGGGTCATAGGTGCCACTTTGTAAGATAATGATAATGCCAAATTATAGTTTTCAAATTCTTTGTACCAGTTTATATACTCCTAGTAGTAATATATAAAATCTCTTACAGTTTTTCACTTTTTCCAACACTTGGTCATAAATTTTTAAAGTTTTTGCAACTCCAGTGGGCATAAGTTGGTATTTTATAGTGATTTTAATTTGCTTTTCCCGTTTTCTAGAAATTCACTGTTAAGCATGACTTAACAAAGACCATGATATTTTGGCATATGCTTACTTACCTATTCAACCTCATTCATTCCTTTATTTAACAAATAATATGGAAGCACCTCTTTTGTGTGTGTCAGCTACTGGGATTGTTTTGTTTTTTTAAATCTGGTCCAGAACAGTATCAGTGAACAGCCTTCATCCTAGAGGGGAATTTATTTATTTATTTATTTTAAAGATTTTATTGGGGAATTGAGGGAGGGGAACAGCGCTGGGGAATCGGGGGAAGGGGAATAGACAAGTTGCTGTCCTTTTGTTCTTCAGTTTAGTTGTGGAGGACGTTGCTTCACTGGCCCATGTTGGTATTATCACTGCACTCTTCCCAGGTGATGCAGATCGGTCACTGGCCTCTGGACGGCTGTTCACGGTGGCTCTTGGCAGCTCACACCGGCTGCCGGCGGTTCATTGCTGGCTGCCAGCCACACACGGTAGCCCATGGCAATCCACTACTGCAGGGGCTGCAGCCTATGCCGTCGCTGGCAATTCATGCCAGCCCAGCTAGCCCAGCTCCAGGTCAAGCTGTTGTTCACCTTACATCTTAAGATGTTGTACATCTTAGCTGTAGAGAGCAGTGTCACTGGCCCTCATGTGGTATCCGAACCTGGGCCCTGCTGCTAAAAGCTGGCGTCCCAAGCCAGCTCTTAACCAACGCGCCACTCAGCGGCCCTCTAGAGGGGAATTTAAAGAGGGGAATCCCCACTCCCTGGGGCTCCATGGTGAACAATGCAGACCAAATCTCTCCCAGTAAGGAGCTTATAACCTAGTGGGGAGTCAGCCACAACTAGGCATTCATTCCATAAATGTGGTAATTACAGATTATGATGAGTCCTTCAAAGGAAATTAATTGGGTACTGAGAAGGCCTCACTGAGGAGGGCTTCCTTCGTAAACAAATGAGATAAATTAAAAATTCTGAGGGAAACAGGACATTGAGATGGACTATTCTATCTCCTGTTATTACAGGAGACTTTTCTTTACAAAGATGGGCAGGGGAGGTTTCTCTGAGAAGGTGCCAGAAAAGTGAAACTTAGCCAGCATATGGAGGCTGAGGCAATGAGTGTTCCAGGCAGAGGAAACAATCGCAAGAGGCCAGCATGACTGGAGCACAGGGAGAATGTCAGTGGTAGGTAGTCAAGTTCCCGCCAATTCATACCGGGAGTTGAGGGCCATTTATTCTAAAGACAGTTGAAATCCATTGAAGGATTTTAAGTGGAGGTGTGATACATGAATTATGTGTTTTAAAGATCACTTATTCATTTAGTTGGATTTTGTTGAACAAAAAACCCAAAGTAACAGTGGCAAGTTGATGCTCAAAGGTCAACCTTTTTCTCTCCTATAAAAGAAGTGCATAGGTAAGCAATTCATGGCTGGTACGTCCGTCACAGTTATTGGTGATTTAAGGCTTCCTCTGTCTTCCTGTTGGGCCATCCTCAGGACTGGGCTTCCCTGATACAGCTAGAGCTGCTGTTACCACATCCATTTCCAGGCAGAGGGAGTTAGGAAGGGAAGAAAGACAAGAGGGATACATCCTCCAGCCAAGTCAGCTTCCTTTAAGGATACAACACTTTCATTTACATCTTACTGGCCAGAATTTAGTCACATGCAGCTAGCTGCTCAGACACTGGGAGGTTTAGTCTTTTGGTTGGGTCTCTTGCCTCCCAGAATAGACAGCTTTCCGTTTCTTAGGAAGAAAGGATATTGGATAGGTATCCACAGTATTTGCTATAGTTCCTCTGGCTCTGGTGTAGAGAGTTGTTTGTAGGGGCTAGAGCAGAAGCAGAGAGATGAGTTAGGGAATTAAAAGAAGTGGCATGGACTAGAGCAGGAGCTGTAACAATGGAGAGATGTGGGCAGCTTTGAGATACATTTTGGGTTAGAGTCCACAAAATTCACTAATAGATTGGATGTGAGGAGTGAAGGAAAAAGAATTGAGCAGCTGGGTAGATAGATGTGGTATCATTTATGAGATGGGGGAGATGGGGAGGAGACTGTTGGGGGAATTAACAAGCTGTTTGTGAGATGCCTGTTGGACACCTGAGTGGAGAAATCGGGGGTGGCAGTTGATTCTGGAGCTTATTTTGTCACTTCTCCCATATATCTCTCCCACCATGTCCTAGCCTTGGGAACCATTCATTGTTCCTCAGACATGACGCAGTCTCTCTTACCTCCTTGTCTTTGCACAGGCTGCTCTTTCCTACCAGGGAAAGACCCTACTTTCCCCTATCCCCAAGCCACTCTTCATCCTTCAGTGCTAGTTTCAGGCTTTCATGCCTCTGGAAAGCCTTTCTGGTTCGACCACCCTCAACATGTGCATATGTTAGCATGTATCACATTGTGGTAGATGTTTGCTTGCACGCCTGCCACCAGACTTTAGACACTTCGTGGGCAAGGAATGTATCTTTTGCCTTTATATTTCCAAGTTCTCTGGCATGGCTCCTGGCATGCAGTCTTTCAGATGTTTGTTGAATGAAATTTTAGACATGCTTTCCTCACTCAATAATTCATAATCTGATTAGGAAAATAAGAGTTTAGTGTATGAAAAGAAATGATCACTACAAAGTTTAATTAATATCATAAGATCCTCTTACTTTAGATGAACTTTATAACCAGTTCAGTTACCTGGTTTTCAAGCCCACAAAAGATTAGAAGTAGCAAACATAACAGGAAAGAGTATAGATGTCTACAACTTATTTTTATATAGAAAAAGTAGGATGGACTGATTGATAAGTAAAGGGATGGGTAGGTGGCCATAGGTAAATGATAAAGCAAATGTCATTCAGTATAGGATTTTGGTGGTGGGTATGTGGGTGTTTGCTTTGTGATTTTTTTCAACTCTTGTATGTTTGAAAATTTTCATAATAGAATAATAAAAAGAACCCCAAGCTTTAAATTAAGAATGACAACATAAACTGTATTACACAGATATAGCTGTATTTCTCTATAAAAAATATAATAGGAAAAGTTCTAACCAACATTAACTAGAATTTTTCAAAGTATCTTTGAAAGACATTCAAATGTAGTAAATGATTGATTCACCTAAAAAAGAAGGAAGGCAAACGGCCCAATTAAAAAATGAGCAAATGGTTTGAATAGACATTTTTACCAAAGATGATATACAAATGGCCAATAAACACATGAAAAGATGCTCAACATCATTAGTCATTAGGGAAATGTAAATCAAAACTATAATGAGATACCGCCTCAATCAAAACCACTAGGATGGCTATAATAAAAATGAAAAAAAAATTTTTTTAAAAGATTTTATTGGGAAATTGGGGGAGGGGAACAGACATGTTGCTATTCTTTTGTTCTTCAGTCTAGTTGTGGAGGACGTCACTTCACTGGCCCATGTTGGTATTATCATTGAGCTCTTCCCGGGTGAGGCAGATTGGTTGCCGGCCACTGGACGGCCACTCATGGCGGCTCTTGGCAGCTCACGCCTGCTGTCAGCCACTCACGGTAGCTTATGGCAGCCCACTGCAGCTTCACTGCAGCCTACGCCGTCGCTGGCGACTCATGGCAGCCCAGCCCCAGGTCGAGCTGTTGTTCACCATCTTAGCTGTAGAGGGTGTAGTGTTACTGGCCCTAATGTGGGATCCGAACCTGGGCCCTGCTGCTCAGAGCTGGCGTCCCAAGCCAACTCTTAACCAACACACCACTCGGCCGGCCCCAAAAAATTAAAATTAAAAAAAAAAAGAAAATAACAAATGTTGGAGAGGATGTGGAGAAATTGGAACATGCATACACTCCTGATGGGAATGTAAAATGGTGCAGCCACTTGTGGGATAGTTTGGCGATTCCTCAGAAGGTTAAATGCAGAATTACCAAATGACCCAGAAGTTGTACTCTTATTGTACATAGCACCATTATTCATAATAGCCCAAAAGTGCAAACAACCCAAAATGTCCATCAACTAATGAACAGATAAACATAATATGGTATAGCCATACAGTGGAATGTTATTCAACAAAAAAAGTATGAAATGATTCATGCAACACCATGGATGAACCTTGAAAACTTTATGCTAAATGTAAGAAATCAGTTACAAAAGACCACATATTGTATGATTTCATTTATGTGACGTGTTCACAATAGACAAATCCGTAGAGACAGAAAGTAAATTATTGGGTTGTCAGAAAAGTCATGACACATTTTTGTAACAAAAAACATAGAAAAAATACCTCATGACTTTTCCGACAACTCAATAGTGGTTACCAGGGGGAGAGGGTTGTAGGGAGTAAATGTTAATGTTTATGGTGTTTCTTTTTGGGGTGATAAAAATGTTCTGGAATTAGATAATGATGATGGTTGCATAACATTGTGAATGTACTAAAAACCACTGAATTCACTAAAAATGGTGAAACTATGTTATGTAAATTTTATCTTAACAAAAAAATCTAAAGAAAAAGAAAAAAGGAAGGGACCATTAAGAGGATAATTTGAATATAACAATAATTGACACTTTTACAGTTTCAAAAAAGTTCTAACCAGCATTAAATGGAATTTTTTAAGGTATCTTTGAAAGACTTTCATATACAGTAAATGATTTAAAAAATGTAAAACACAGACATAACTAAAAATATCACTGTATATATTTGTGTACACACACTTTAGAAATAATGGAGTATATTAACCAGATCTAGAGAAGTATCTTTTTTTTTTTTTTAAAGATTTTTATTGGGGAATTGGGGGGATGGGAACAGTGCTGGGGAATTGGGGGAAGGGGAACAGACAAGTT